TCATCATGCTTTAAATCGGGATGACGGCGCCTATTTGCCACAGGAATATATGCATCTTCTTGGCGGGTGACGTCATCCCTTGGGTATTGAAGAAGCCACGATCGCAGTTTTAGATCACCCCTGATGAAGACACTAGACTGGAGTGTCGAAACGTTGGGTCTTGATTACAATTCGACTGGGCTTTGTAATCATTTATTTAAACCAGAGTAGTGAGCGAAACAAGATTGATATACCTGGTTGCAGTGAACGAACAAACTTTATGCGTGCAATTTCTATATATATATATATATATCCAGTTCAGACGAGGTGGCCGAGTGGTTAAGGCGATGGACTGCTAATCCATTGTGCTCTGCACGCGTGGGTTCGAATCCCATCCTCGTCGGTCACTTACTTCTTAAACAATAAGATAATCCTGTCGAATAGCGATTTTTCAAACAAAGAAGTTGTGTTGATCAGTTCATTAGAAAAATTTAATTTCACCATTATCCGTCAATAATGATAATGAATACACATTTTTTCGTCAAACTAAATGCGAGTGCAGTGTTTGTACTGTGATGGACTGCTAATCCATTGTGATCAACGCGTGTGGATCCGATTCGCATTCAAGTCTTCGACAACTTCTTAAAGAAAAATTACAAGAACCAGTCGACAAACGATTTTAAAGGAAATAGAAAGATAGTTATTTTATAATTCATAATTCAAGATCAGTAAATTCAATGTTTTTAACAATAAAAAGGTTTTAAAATCTAAAAAAAATTAAGTTTGAATTATGCTTATTAATTGATTTTCCTAGATAGTTTTTCGATTGAAAGGTCGTCTGAAATGCGCCTTAAAAACCCTCATTCAAAAAACTGTGCCTTTAAATGGGATTGTCGAGTGGGGAGATGGGTTGTTTCATTGTTTGCATTGTAATAGACTGCTAATTCCCAGTGCTCAGTGCATATGGAATCGAATGGCATCCAGGTATTCCGCAATTTCTTAAAGAAATATAACAAAAACCAGTCCATTAATTAACGAATTTGAAAAAAATAGAAATAGCCAGTTATTTTCAAGTGAAAAATTTGTGCATTATCTATCAGTAATTAGTTGAAAAATAAGAAAAACATGACAACATTTTTTAATTATCTCCAGTTTAGACGAGGTGGCCAAGTGGGTAAGGCGATGTACTGCTAATCCATTGTGTTCTGCACGCGTGGGTTCGAATCCCATCTTCGTCGTTCCAGATATATTTAAGCTGTGATAAAAGCCGGTGGAACAACAAGTTTTAAACAAAATGGAAATTACGTATACTTTTATTTTTATCTGTACGATTTGAGCATTACCCGTCAGATCAAACGAGGTTGACAATGTAGTCGAGTGTTTAAGAAGATGGACTGCTAATTCACTGTGCTCTGCACGCGTGGGTTCAAATCCCATCCTCGTCGTCCACTCCTTTCTAAACAATAACAAAAACCAGTCCATGAACAGTTAAAAAACCCAAATAATTGGATGTTATTATCATCAGAAACATTTCGAAATTATCTATTGGTAATTAGTTGAAAATTAAGAAAAACATCAGTACAATTAATCCATCTCCAGTTCAGACGAAGTGGTCGAGTGGTTAAGGCGATGGACTGCTAATCCATTGCGCTCTGCACGCGTGGGTTCGAATCCCATCCTCGTCGATCATTGCTTCTTAATTTAAACAGTAAAAAAAAACTGTACAAGAACGATTTTTGAACAAAATAAAATTGAATTAGTTTTTAAATTATAAACAGAAAAATTTCACCATAATCAAAATAACTAAATAAAAATCACTTCACAAGTTTTCAAAAGTGAAATTGATGTTTTAACATTTTCGTCTTCAAATTAGATCACCTTGCCGACTGGGAATCGTTAGGGTGATGTGTATTGAATGGTTTTTTAATCCATTTTGCTGGGCACGTGTGGGTTCGAATGCCGCCGCCTCGTTTTCACAAATTCTTAGAGGCACAGTTCTTTTGGATGATGGTTTTTAAGGCGAATTTCAGCCCCTTTAATTGAAAAAATAACTAGAAAAATCAATTATGCATAATTCAAGATCAGTAAATTCAATGTTTTTAACAATAAAAATGTTTCAAAATGTTAAAAACATTAGCTTTGCTGATCTTGATCATGAATTATGCTTAATTGATTTTCCTAGTTATGTTTTTCAATTGAAAGGGTTGAAATACACTGACATAACTTTTAAATCTTTTGAACATCTCGATTTATCAGTTGCATTTCGCGATTTTAATACCCGCATGGTATTAGTCTACAGGCCTCCGCCATCAAAAAAGAACAACCTAACACCTACTATGTTTTTTACTGAATTTTCCGATTTAGTCGAGGACCTTACTGTTTCCGATAAACCATTTTTTATTGCGGGCGATTTTAAACTTCATATTGATAATAAATCAAACCCGGACACTGTAAAATTTCTAAACATATTGGATAGTACAAACATGATTCAAATGGTGTCAGGACCCACTCACCGTCGAGGCCACACCTTGGATCTGATTATATCACAGCTTGATGATGAACTTGTTAGTAATGTAAAGATACAACAGGAAATGTACTCCGATCATCGTGTAGTTAAGTGTGAATTAAAATGTCCAAAGCCACCTTTGTCCAAAGTTTTCGTGTCCTATAGATCCACCAAACACCTGGACCTAGATACTCTTAAACACCGCATTATGAAGTCCTTTTCCGACCATAAAATTTCTGACGTTACTGAAATTAATGAATTGATAGATATCTATAATGGATCTCTAAAGGATATTTATGATTCTCTATGTCCTATACAAACAAAAGACATAAATTATCGTCCATGGGCTCCTTGGTACAATGATGACCTACGTGCAGAAACGACGCTTGGAACGGAAATTCAAGAAGTCTGGCCTTACTATTCACAAAGAATTATTTACGGAAGTCTGTAAGAAGTATAACAAACGCTGGAAAGTTATAACACCAGCTATTACAGAGATAAAATTAATCAAGCCGACAGAAACAAACTATTCCGCCTTGTAAATGGACTCTTCCAAAAGAATAGCAAAGCCTTGCCATCTTATACATCATTGGAACTCCTTGTAGAAGAGTTTAACGACTTCTTTATCAATAAAGTTCGAAATATTAGAAATGAACTGGAACTGTACAAAGAAAACGTTGAAATAACTATATCACCTCCATCTCCGAAGCTGCCTCCTTGCGGTTTTAGAGAATTTCAACCACGCAATGAGAGCTCCGTGCAAGAAATCATCAAGTCTCTGTCTACGAAGACCTGTTCGTTAGATCCTATCCCTACTCATGTACTTAAGAATCAACTAGAAACCTTGACTCCTATAATTACAGATATAGTTAAAACCTCACTTTCAGAAAGAGTATTTCCAAACACACTAAAGATATCGAATCTTAGCCCACGTCTGAAGAAGCCAGACCTTGATAAAGATCTATTTCCAAACTTTAGACCAAGCGCCAAAATAGCTTTTCTTAGCAAAGTCTTAGAGCAAACAGTTTCGGTTCAAACACAAGATTTCCTGAATTCAAATAACCTTTATCCTTCTTTCCAATCAGCTTATCGAAAATTCCATTCTACAGAGACAGCGTTACTGAAAGTAACCATAAATGACATCTTAAGAACCCTTGACAATCACCAGGATATCATTCTTGTAATGCCGGATGTATCGTCAGCTTTCGATACCTTAGATCACGATATATTATTGGCAAGGCTTGAATCATATTTTGGATTTTCGGATACAGTAATAAAATGGTTTAAATCATATCTCACTGGACGTTCGCAATCTGTTGTAATTGGCGATGTTGTGTCCACATTAAGACATCTTGAATATGGCGTGCCACAGGGTTTATCAGCCTTAGGCCCCTTGCTATTTACACTCTAAATAGTATATTGTATGGACTCCTCAAATACGAGCTGGACAAATTGCAGCGAGTCCAGAATGCAGCAGCCCAGTTAATTACAGGGAAAACGAAATCTGATCATATAACACCCGTACTGCATGAAAGAATTACATTGGTTACCGATTAAATATCGAATAAATTTTAAAATAATTCTCCTAGTTTACAAGTCACTACATAACTTAGCTCCAGATTATCTTCACAAAATTATTGAAGAAAATGTCCTACAGGTACACTTCGATCCTTCCGATGTTCACTGCTTTCCACTCAGCCAAAGATATACACCACGACATTTGGAACTCTTTACCTGAATACATTAAATCCGCTGAGTCTATTTTAGAATTTAAATCTTCCTTGAAGACTTATTTGTTTAAGGAGGCATATGCTTGCTAACATTATAGCTAATATATCATATATTAAAATACTTTGTTCCACTAAATCTATTTTATCTGTAATATAAGTTTTAATTTTAACAAATATATAATGTAAATATAAACTATTTCAGTAAATTTAAATAGTTTTAAGCCACTGTAAGCGCATTGAGATTTTTAAATGCGCATAAGAACATTATTATTATTAAATGCGCCTTAATTTAAAAACCATAATTCAAAAGGCTGAACTTTGCCTTTAAATGAAATTGTCGTGTGGGGAGATGGGTTGTTTCATTGTTTGGATTGTGATAGACTGCTAATTCCTTGTGCTTAGCGCATGTGGATTCGAATCATATCCGCGCCTACCACAATTTCTAAAATGCAAATGACAAAGACTAGTCGACTAACGATTTTTAAATAAAATAGAAAAGAACTGTTATTTTCATGCGAAACATTTCCGTCTTGTCTATCAGTAATTAGTTGAAAATTAAGAAAAACTTGCGTACAATTTTAATACATATCAAGTTCAAACGAGGTGGCCGAGTGGTTAAGGCGATGGACTGCTAATCCATTGTGCTCTGCACGCGTGGGTTCGAATCCCATCTTCGTCGAATAAGATTTTAAACAAAAACTGAATTCCACAATTTCTTCACCTTAAAGAAAAATGTAGCAAAAACCAGTCGACAAACAATTTAAAAAAAAAAAATAACTGACAGTTATGAAAAAACAAAAACATGAGTACAATTAGTCCATCTCCAATTCAGACGAGGTGGCCGAGTGGTTAAGGCGATGGACTGCTAATCCATTGTGCTCTGCACGCGTGGGTTCGAATCCCATCCTCGTCGGCCATTTACTTTTTAAACAATGAGAAAAACCTGTCGAATAACGATTTTAAACAGAACCAAGCTTTCTTTTATTTTATTTTTATCAGTAAAATTAAACAATCCTTTATTCATTAAAAACGAGTTGAAATTTAAAAAAAAACTTGATAATGTATTAATACTTTTTCTTCAAATTAGTAGAGATTGGGGACCGGGCCGTTGTATTGTTTGGATTGTGATGGACTGCTAATCCAATGTGCCCAGAGCTTGTGCACGTGGATTCGAATTGCATCAAGGTCTTCCACAATTTCTAAAAGAAAAATAACATGGCCAGTTATTTTCATCTGAAAAGTTTCCACATTATCTATCAGTAACTAGTTGAAAATTAAGAAAAACATGAATACAATTTGATGAGATTGCCGACTGGGAGATGAATTCTTTGGACTGTAAATCCGGTTTTCCACTAGGCGTAATTTTGCGCGCGGAGCGAAATCTTTCTTTGTCTTTTCTAAATAGTTCCACCCGAGAAATCACAAGACAAAGAAAAATTCCGCCTAATGAAAACCGGCTTAATGGACTGCTAATGCATTGCGCTTCAACGCGTGTGGATTCGAATCGCTGGATTCTTAAAGTAAGATAGCAAAAACCAATCGACCAATGATTCAGAAAAAATAGAAATACACAGTTATTTTCATCTGAAATATTTCGGCCTTATCTCTCGGTATTTAGTTGAAAATCAAGAAAAACATGAATACAATTTTCATACATGACAAGTTCAGACGAGGTGGACGAGTGGTTAAGGCGATGGACTGCTAATCCATTGTGCTCTGCACGCGTGGGTTCGAATCCCATCCTCGTGGACGATTTTAAACAGAATCAAACTTTCTTTTATTTTATTTTATTTTTATCAGTAAAATTAAACCATCCTTTATTCATTAAAAACGAGTTGAAATTTTTAAAAAAACATGATAATATATTAATACTTCTTCGTCAAATTAGTAGAGATTGGCGACCGGGCCGATGGATTGTTTGTATTGTGATGGACTGCTAATCTAATGTGCCCAGAGCTTGTGCACGTGGATTCGAATCGCATCAAGGTCTTCCATAATTTCTAAAAGAAAAATAACATGGCCAATTATTTTCATCTGAAAAGTTTCGACATTATCTATTAGTAATTAGTTGAAAATTAAGAAAAACATGAATACAATTTAATGCAAAACAAGCTCAGACGAGGTGGCCGAGTGGTTAAGGCGATGGACTGCTAATCCATTGTACTCTGCACGCGTGGGTTCGAATCCCATCCTCGTCGTCAATAACGATTTTTAAACAAAATAAAATTAAATTAGTTTTTAAAATATCACCATAATCAAAATTAACAAAATAAAAATTTTCAAACTTCACAAATTTTCAAAAGTCAAATTGATGTTTTAACATTCTGTTCTTCAAATTAGACGACCTTGCCGACCGGGAATCGTAAAGCCGATGTATATTGAATGTTTTCTAATCCATTGTGCTGGGCACGTGTGGGTTCGAATCCCACCCTCGTTTTTCACAATTTCGCAATAACAAAGACCAGTCGCCTAATGATGTTTAAGCAAAATAGAAATGGACATTGATTTTGGGTATTAAGAAAAACACGCATGCGTTCATTTGCAACCACATCTCCATGTAGACGAAGTGGGCGCGTGGTTAAAGGCACAGTTCAGCACAGGCACAGTAAATGATGGTTTTTAAGGCGCATCTCAGCCCCTTTTATTGAAAAAAAACTAACTAGAAAAATCAATTATGCGTAATTCAAGATCAGTAAACTCGATCAATGTTTTCAACAATAAAAATATTTTAAAATGTCAAAAACATCAAGTTGAAAATTAAACAAAGCATGATCTCCATTTCAACACACGTGCCCGTCAGGTTCAGACGAGGTTGTCGAGTGGTTAAGACGATGGACTGCCAATTCACTGGGTTCTGCGCGCGTGGGTTCGAATCTCATCCTCCTCGTCGTCTTCTCTTTCTTAAACAATAACGTACAAAGGCCAGTCGCATATCGATTTTGAAAAAGCAGAAATAGACAGTTATTTTTATGCGAAAAATTTTGGCATTATCTAACAGTAATTAGTTGAAAATTAAGAAAAACATGACTACAATTTTAATCCATCTCCAGTTCAGACGAGGTGGCCGAGTGGTTAAGGCGATGGACTGCTAATCCATTGTGCTCTGCACGAGTGGGTTCGAATCCCATCCTCGTCGGCCACTTACTTCTTAAACAATAAGGAAAAACAGTCCATATTAATAACGACTTTTAGACAAAATAAAATTGAAACAGGTTTTAACAGTAAAATTTCACCATAACCAAAATTAACAAAAGAAAATTCACTTCAAAAGTGAAATTGATGTTTTAACATTTTATTCTTCAAATTAGACGATTTTGCCGTCTGGGAATAGTTAAGGCGATGTATATTGATGTTTTTCTAATCCATTGTGCTGGGCGCGTGTGGCCTGGGTTCGAATCCCACCCTCGTATTCCACAATTTCTTACCGGCACAGTTCAGCCTTTTGGATGATGGTTTTTAATGCGCATTTCAGCACCTTTAAATTAATCGAAAAAACTAACTAGAAAAATCAATTATGCATATTTCAAGATCAGTAAATTCAATGTTTTTAACAATAAAAAATGTTTTAAAATGTTAAAAACATGGATTCTTCATCTTAAAGAAAAATGTAGCAAAAACCAGTCGACTAACAATTTAAAAAAAAATAACTGACAGTTATTTTCATTTGAAAAATTTTGGCATTACCCATCACTAATCAGTTGAAAATTAAGAAAAACATGAGCACAATTAATCAATCTCCAGTTCAGACGAGGTGGCCGAGTGGTTAAGGCGGTGGACTGCTAATCGCGCGTGGGTTCGAATCCCATCCTCGTCGGCCATTTACATTTTGAACAATGAGAAAAACCTGTCGAATAACGATTTTAAACAGAACCAAGCTTTCTTTTATTTCATTTTTTCAGTAAAATTAAATAATCCTTTATTCATTAAAAACGTGTTGAAATTTAAAAAAAAACTTGATAATGTATTAATTAATACCTCTTCGTCAAATTAGTAGAGATTGGCGACCGGGCCGATGGATTGTTTGGATTGTGATGGACTGCTAATCTAATGTGCCCAGAGCTTGTGCACGTGAATTCGAATCGCATCAAGGTCCACAATTTCTAAAAGAAAAATAACATGGCCAGTTATTTTCATCTGAAAAGTTTCGACATTATCTATCAGTAATTAGTTGAAAATTAAGAAAAACATGAATACAATTTAGGGCAAGACAATCTCAGACGAGGTGCCCGAGTGGTTAAGGCGATGGACTGCTAATCCATTGTGCTCTGCACGCGTGGGTTCGAATCCCATCCTCGTCGAATAAGATTTTAAACAAAAAACTGAATTGATTTTCATCAGTAAATTTCACCAGTATCCGTCAATATAATGAATATTTTAACACTTGATGAGATTGCCGACTGGGAGATGAATTCTTTGGACTGTAAACCTTAACTTTGATTTTCTCTGCTCAGACAACGTTAATTTTAAAATTACTTCGCCAATGAACTCATAAGATGAGTCGTTTTTTAAGTTGTTTACAACATTCGCGTCCGTGTTGTATCGGATATACAAACTCTCGCCTTCGACTCGAGTTTGTATATCTGATACAACACGGCCGCTCATGTTGTCAACTTTTGTCGTCCACTTTTTCTTAAACAATAACAAAGGCAGTCGGATAACGATTTTGAAAAAATAGAAACCGACAGTCATTTTCATCTGAAAAATTTTGGCATTATCGAACAGCAATTAGTTGAAAATTAAGAAAAACATGAGTAGAATTTTAAAACTTCTCCAGTTCAGACGAGGTGGCCGAGTGGTTAAGGCGATGGACAGCTAATCCTTTGTGCTCTGCACGCGTGGGTTCGAATCCCATCGTCGTCGGTCACTTACTTCTTAAACCGTAAGATAAACTTGTGAAATAACGACTTTTAAACAAAAAATTTCACCACTTGCTGAGATTGCCGAGTGTGGATATGGATTGTTTGCATTGTGATAAACTGCTAATTCATTGTGCCCAACGCATGTGGATAGTTGGAATCGTATCTGCGCCTTCCACAATTTCTAAAAGGGAGATAACAAAAACCAGTCGACTAACGATTTTTAAATAAAATAGAAATGGACACTTATTTTCACTTATTTTCACATCTATCAGTAATTAGTTGAAAATGAAGAAAAACATGAGTACAATTTTAATACATCACCAGTTCAGACGAGGTGGCCGAGTGGTTAAGGCGATGGACTGCTAATCCATTGTGCTCTGCACGCGTTACGATTTTGCTGAATGAAAACTCGTTCTGCGCCCGCGTACAATCTTTTACTAGTCAGCGACGCTTTTCAATAGGGGAATTTCTCGAGTTACACGAGGCTATTTTCTAACTTTATTTGCATTTTACTCATTAGTTTCATCGGTGACCTATCTTCAAATTTTGACACGAATTTATTTTGCGGTAAATTTTATAAATTTCAAATTTTAAAAAAATCTGTAGTGTGAAAATTTCGCAATAAAATTTTCGCTTTTAAAAAAATCACACACTACAGAATTTTTTTAAACTTTCGCCACAGTTGAAGAGCATCATTCCTTATTGATATATGAAATAAAAAAGATAGGTCACCGACATCGTTTTTGAGATAGCGGCACATTTATGGGTTAAATTGGAAGGCTTTATGCTGTCGTCATGTTGCCATGGGAACATTGACATCGTCGAAATCTAGTTCGAAATATTTCTTAGGTGACCAATATTACCACCAAGTCGAAAAGAATTCGCGTTCTGCACGAATAAGCCTGTTTTACGGAATTATTGCTTAAACAAGAATAACTGTAGGGAGCTACCTTAAGGCTAGTTTGATACACGGGCGATTTTTGCTGCGATTTTAGGTGCGATTTTCTCCTTTTGGAGGATGTGAAGGAGTAGATTGCTTAATGATGTTGTTATGAGATTCAATAACCTAGATTCTAGAACATTTATAACTCATCCTCTCCTTCGCACCCACCAAAAGGAGTAAATCGTACCTAAAATCGCAGCAAAATTCGCCCGTGTAAACGAGCCTAAAACCTCAATCACTTGACGTAATAACATACGATTTCTTCTTGCTGGAGTCAACAGGTATGTTTTTGCTAAAGCAAATGTTCCTCATGATCTCAAGATCCTGCAATAAGGTCCCGTTTACATGAGACAGGGACGAAGTCAAACCGCGGGACCGTTTCATTTCGGTCATGAGAGAGGTTAAGATACCCCGGTTTCGGTGTACGGGTACGAGTAGTGTCATATTGTTTTACTGATATCTGTAATTCGATCATACGTTTTCTGTTTTCTCGCAATAGACAATGATATAATGCGGAAAATGTGCACCTTAATTACGAGTAAAGGTACAGACATCGACGAAACTACTGCTAAACAAAATCATGCTACCCGTGGACGTACACCGAAACCGGGGTATCTTAAACTCTCTATTGTATTATTTATAATAGATGTTTACATGAGACCGAGACGAAAATAACTCAGACCGGGATGAATTCGAAGCGGGATGAATGTAAACACAAATACATTTCTGACCGGTCTCGTCTGTATTCTTGGCTTCGAAATAATGCTTGCTCACAAAAGCACTGTAGAAAAAGAAAATGGCAGGCCAGGGAAATAAATTGAAAGATTTGTACGAGTTTTGTACCGTTGAATAAATTAAAAGATTTGTGACTCATAACGGTTCCATGTGAACATACTGTGAAATTTGCGATTTTCATCCCTGTTTGACTTCATCCCAGCCTCATGTAAACGGGTCTTCAGTTTGACCCTGCTAAACACTGGATCAATAAGAAGTGGATCGTAGCACTGGATCAATAAGAAGTGGCCTCCAGGGCGAACAGAAATTAAGAACTGATAGAGCTGTGCAAGTTTTACTTGGGTTCAGTTGATATCCAAAATAGTAATTTTTAATTTGCTTTGATTTTTAAAGGTTCCAACCCAGACATGTTTGATGGCTTCCAAGCGATCATTGATAACAACGATGAACAATGTTTGACTCACACACTCTGCACGAAATATTTTAGCTTTAAATGGCGAGAAAAAGGGTGTTATCTATATCTGGCAAATCTTTTTATCTATCTTTGTTTTCATGTTTTGTTTAATGTTTATGTTGCGTTGTGCAATCGCACGTCGGAAGCTAGATGCAGCGAGTGAGTCGTTGGGTGTATTGGACTATGTTTTGTTTTGTATTTAACAATTATTGAATTTAGTTTTCCCATGATCTGAAGAATTATGAAGAACTTTGGTTCTTAAGACTGAGTTTGATAAACTGAGGGCTTGAAATTATTCATATCATGGGAAAACCGAATTCAATAATTGTTTTATTATCTAGTTAAAACATGTGAATAGCGGCCGGTTGTAGGAAGCCATTTGTGTTATGAACAATTCCTCGCCCCTTCGACAGTCGTCATGTGCATGACGTCATAGGATTTGATCTTTTTTTTTATGATATCAACGTTTTCATGATATATGACGTCACTATGTTGAATATTATGTCAAAGTTCCATATTTGGTCGCCTATTGACGATTTCACACTTGGCGTTAACCAATCAGAAATTATTATTACTATTAAATTTTTAATGAATATTTTAACACTTTTGAGTCAATTAGATGAATTTGTGGAGTGGGGAAATGGATTGTTTGGATTGTGATGGACTGCTAATCCAATTTGCTCCGCGCGTGTGGATTCGAATGTTCCACAATTTCTTGATCTTAAAGAAAAATGTAGCAAAAACCAGTCGACTAACGATTTAAAAAAAATAACTGGCCGTTATTTTCATTTGAAAAATTTCGTCAATACCTATCAGTAATCAGTTGAAAATTAAGAAAAACATGAGTACAATTAATCCATCTCCAGTTCAGACGAGGTGGCCGAGTGGTTAAGGCGATGGACTGCTAATCCATTGTGCTCTGCACGCATGGGTTCGAATCCCATCCTCGTCGGCCACTTACTTTTTTAAACAATGAGAAAGACCTGTCGAATAACGATTTTAAACAGAACCAAACTTTCTGTTATTTTATTTTTATCAGTAAAATCAAACCATCCTTTATTCATTAAAAACGAGTGGAAATTTTTAAAAAAACTTGATAATGTATTAATACTTCTTCGTCAAATTAGTTGAGAATGGCGACCAGGCCGATGGATTGTTTGGATTGCGATCATGGACTGCTAATTCATTGTGCACAGCGCTTGTGCACGTGGATTCGAATCGCATCAAGGTCTTCTACAAATTCTAAAAGAAAAATAACATGGCCAGTTATTTTCATCTGAAAAGTTTCGACATTATCTATCAGTAATTAGCTGAAAATTAAGAAAAACATGAATACAATTTTAATGCACGACAAGCTCAGACGAGGTGGCCGAGTGGTTAAGGCGATGGACTGCTAATCCATTGTGTTCTGCACGCGTGGGTTCGACTCCCCTCCTCGTCGTCAATAACGATTTTTAAACAAAAAAAATTAAATTAGTTTTTAAAATATCACCATAATCAAAATTAACAAAATAAAAATTTTCAAACTTCACAAATTTTCAAAAGTCAAATTGATGTTTTAACATTCTCTTCTTCAAATTAATTAGATGACCTTGCCGACTGGGATTTGTGAAGCCGATGTATATTGAATGTTTTCTAATCCATTGTGCTGGTCACGTGTGGGTTCGAATCCCACCCTCGTTTTTCACAATTTCTCAATAACAAAGACCAGTCGACTAATGATGTTTAAACAAAATAGAAATGGACATTGATTTTGATAAGTGAAATGTCGGCATTATCCGTCAGCAATTAGTTGGAAATTAAGAAAAATACGCATGCGTTCATTTGCAACCGCATCCCCATGTAGACGAGGTGGGTGGGTGGTTAAAGGAACAGGTCAGCCTTTTGAATGATGATTTTTAAGGCGCATCTCAGCCCCTTTAATTGCAAAATCTAAGTAGAAAAATCAATTATGCGTAATTCAAGATCAGTAAACTCGATCAATGTTTTCAACAATAAAAATATTTTAAAATGTCAAAAACATCAACTTGAAAATTAAAAAAAGCATGATCTCCATTTCAACACAGGTCCCCATCAGATTCAGACGAGGTTGTCGAATGGTTAAGACGATGGACTGCTAATTCACTGGGCCCGGCGCGCGTGGGTTCGAATTCCATCCCCGTCGCCGTCCACTCTTTCTTAAACAATAATGTACAAAGGCCAGTCGGATAACGATTTTGAAAAAACAGAAATAGACAGTTATTTTCATGTGAAAAATGTTGACATTATCTAACAGTAATTAGTTGAAAATTAAGAAAAACATGAGTACAATTAATCCATCTCCAGTTCAGACGAGGTGGCCGAGTGGTTAAGGCGATGGACTGCTAATCCATTGTGCTCTGCACGCGTGGGTTCGAATCCCATCCTCGTCGGCCACTTACTTTTTAAACAATGAAAAAAACCTGTCGAATAACGATTTTAAACAGAACCAAACTTTCTTTTATTTTATTTTTATCAGTAAAATTAAACCATCCTTTATTCATTAAAAACGAGTTGAAATTTTTAAAAAAACTTGATAATGTATCAATACTTCTTCGTCAAATTAGTTGAGAATGGCGACCGGGCCGATGGATTGTTTGGATTGTGATCATGGACTGCTAATTTATTGTGCCCAGCGCTTGTGCACGTGGATTCGAATCGCATCAAGGTCTTCTACAAATTCTAAATGAAAAATAACATGGCCAGTTATTCTCATCTGAAAAGTTTCGACATTATCTATCAGTAATTAGTTGAAAATTAAGAAAAACTTGAATACAATTTTAACGCACGACAAGCTCAGACGAGGTGGCCGAGTGGTTAAGGCGATGGACTGCTAATCCATTGTGTTCTGCACGCGTGGGTTCGAATCCCATCCTCGTCGTCAATAACGATTTTTAAACAAAAAAATTAAATTATTTTTTAGAATATCACCATAATCAAAATTAACAAAATAAAAATGTTCAAATTTCACAAATTTTCAAAAGTCAAATTGATGTTTTAACATTCTCTTCTTCAAATTAGACGACCTTGCCGACCGGGATTATGTGAAGCCGATGTATATTGAATGTTTTCTAATCCATTGTGCTGGGCACGTGTCGGTTCGAATCCCACCCTCGTTTTTCACAATTTCGCAATAGCAAAGACCAGTCGACTAATGATGTTTAAACAGAATAGAAATGGACATTGATTTTGATAAGTGAAATGTCCGCATTATCCGTCAGCAATTAGTTGGAAATTAAGAAAAATACGCATGCGTTCATTTGCAACCACATCTCCATGTAGACGAGGTGGGCGCGTGGTTAAAGGCACAGTTCAGCCTTTTGAATGATGGTTTTTAAGGCGCATCTCAGCCCTTTAATTGAAAAAACTAACTAGAAAAATCAACTATGCATAATTCAAGATCAGTAAACTCGATCAATGTTTTCAACAATAAAAATGTTTTAAAATGTCAAAAACATCAAGTTGAAAATTAAACAAAGCATGATCTCCATTTCAACACACGTCCCCGTCAGATTCAGACGAGGTTGTCGAGTGGTTAAGACGATGGAATGCTAATGGACGACTTGCGCTTTAGACTAAATTTTAATCTAAGTAAGAACAACGAAATCTATCACCACAGCTAGTAAGAGCGTCTTGGAATTAGTAATATTACAAAGTTTGGTTGCGAAATGTTGTAAAATACGGAAACTATAGCCCTTCAAATTTGGCAAATTTGTATACTTTTGTATTACGTGCGTGAATTGGTAACTAAATTAGTTACCAAATAATTCTTTCCGAAAATATCCTTTTTTAATCTCAAATTAAATTTTTTTCTAAAGCGCAAGTCGTCCATTAACTGGGCTCTGCGCGCGTGGGTTCGAATCCCATCCTCGTCGTCGTCCACTCTTTCTTAAACAATAATGTACAAAGGCCAGTCGGATAACGATTTTGAAAAAACAGAAATAGACAGTTATTTTCATGTGAAAATTTTTTGCATTATCTAACAGTAATTAGTTGAAAATTAAGAAAAACATGAGTACAATTAATCCATCTCCAGTTCAGACGAGGTGGCCGAGTGGTTAAGGCGATGGACTGCTAATCCATTGTGCTCTGCACGCGTGTGTTCGAATCCCATCCTCGTCGGCCACTTACTTTTTAAACAAACTTACTTCTTAGGCAAAATAAAATGAAATAGGTTTTAACAGTAAAATTTCACCATAACCAAAATTAACAAAAGAAAACTTCACAAGTTTTCAAAAGTGAAATTGATGTTTAACATTTTATTCTTCAAATTAGACGATCTTGCCGTCTGGGAATAGTTAAGGCGATGTATATTGATGTTTTTCTAATCCTATGTGCTGGGCACGTGTGGCCTGGGTTCGAATGCCACCCTCGTTTTCCACAATTTCTTACCGGCACAGTTCAGCCTTTTGGATGATGGTTTTTAAGGCGCCCTTTAAATTAATCGAAAAAACTAACTAGAAAAATCAATTATGCATATTTCAAGATCAGTAAATTCAATGTTTTTAACAATAAAAATGTTTTAAAATGTTAAAAACATGGGTTGTTTCATTGTTTGGATTGTGATAGATTGCCAATTTCCTTTGCTCAGCGCATGTGGATTCGAATCGTATCCAGGACTTCCGCAATTTCTTGAAGAAAAATAACAAAAACCAGTCCACTAACGATTTTGAAAAAAATAGAAATAAACAGTTATTTTCATGTGAAAAATTTCTGTATTATCTATCAGTAAATACTTGAAAATTAAGAAAAACACGAGTTCAATTTAACTGTATCTTCAGTTCAGACGAGGTGGCCGAGTGGTTAAGGCGATGGACTGCTAATCCATTGTGCTCTGCACGCGTGGGTTCGAATCCCATCCTCGTCGATTACTTACTTCTTAAACAATAAGATAAACCTGTCGAATAAAACTGAATCTTCATCGATAAACTTTCACCTTTTTTATCCGCTAATAATAAACATTTTAACACTTTTTCGTCTATTTAGATGAGATTGCCCAGTGGGGAATGGGCTGTTTGGATTGTGATAGAGGAATGTGTGCTTAGCGCATGTGGATTCGAATCGTATCGACCTCTTCCACAATTTCTAAAAGGAAAAGAACAAAAAACTGTCGACTAACGATTCCTGAAAAAAATGGAAATGGCAGTTATTTTCATCTGAAAAATTTCGGACTTATCTATCAGTAATTATTTGAAAATTAAGAAAAACATGAGTACATGCATCTTTAATATATATCCAGTTCAAACGAGGTGGCCGAGTGGTTAAGGCGATGGACTGCTAATCCATTGTGCTCTGCACGCGTGGGTTCGAATCCCATCTTCGTCGTCCGAGATTTATTTAAGCTATGACAAAGCCGGTCGAACAACAAGTTTTAAACAAAATGGCAATTACTTTTATCTGTAAGATTTAAGTATTACTAGTCAATAATTAGATGAAAATTAAACAAAGCATACATGACCACCATTTTAGCACACGTCCCCGTCAGATCAGACGAGGTTGTCGAGTGGTTAAGACGATGGTCTGCTAATTCTCTGTGCTTGTCGTCCACTCTTTCTTAAAGAACAACAATGGCCAATCGGATAACGATTTAAAAAAATAGAAACAGACAGTTATTTTCATCTGAAAAATTTTCGCATTACAGTATCTAACAGTAAATTAGTGGAAAATTAAGAAAAATATAGTTCAATTTTAATACATCTCCAGTTCAGACGAGGTGGCCGAGTGGTTAAGGCGATGGACTGCTAATACATTGTGCTCTGCACACGTGGGTTCGAATCCCATCCTTGTCGGTTACTTATAACTTCTTAAACAATAAGAAAAAACTGTCGAATAACGACTTTTAAACAAAAGAAAAATTTCACCATAATCAAAATTAACAGAATAAAAAGAATACTAATAATGCAGTATCTATTGTAGTCGTGTCCTGATTAGTATTCTTTATATAAAGAATTATACTAATAAGGCAGTATATCTATTGAATTTGTAGTCGTGTTTGAAGCCGTTTAATAAATTCGCAGGTCGTGTTTTATTAGGTCTAAAGCACTAATTTAACACTCCTGCTCGTTTATTAAACAGTACTTCACAAATTAGACCACCTTTCCGATTGGGAATCGTTAAGGTGATGTATATTAAATAGTTTTCTAATCCATTGTGCTGGGCACGTGTCGGTTCGAATCCTACCCTCGTTTTCCACAATTTCTTAAAGGCACAGTTCAGCCTTTTGGATGATGGTTTTTAAGGCGCATTTCAGCCCCTTTAATTGAAAAAAACTAACTAGAAAAACAATTATGCATAATTCAAGAAAAGTAAATTCAATGTTTTTAACAATAAAAATGTTCGCTGATCTTGATCATGAATTATGCTTAATTGATTTTCCTAGTTAGTTTTTTCAATTGAAAGGACTGATATGCGCCTTAAAGATGCGATAAAGTCTGTTCAAACTGAGTTCAAAATGTAAACAAAGCGTTTTTTTACATTACGGACTTTACATCACCTTTAATTAAAGGACAATGGCACCGAAAATTTTTAATGGCTATTTCAATCCTACTTGACGACATAACTATGAAAATATTATCATTTCGTTCTCAAACATTTTAGTCTACGAGTAAAATGCATGCAAACTTTGCGTTTCGCCACCATCTTGGAAATATTTTTTGAAAAATTATCTCGAAGGTCAATGAACTTTGTGACGTCATTGGATGGGTAGCACCAAAACTACAAGAGAGAATTCTATTGCGTGCGTGTTATGACTTATGTTAGCTAGAAATATGTCGTTTTGAGCGTTATACTGGCCAACAATCTTCGCAATCAAACAAGATACGTCTATACTATCAGATAAAAACATATCGAGCGACTGAAAAAGCAAGGGATGGCGCAATTTACAATACAGGTAATTGATCATAAAATATTGCAGTAGTATTTGCCTTGTTACACTCGAATTTCTGCGTTTATTTAATACGGAGTAAGATATATACTATGAAAAATAGTGTTATAAACAGGTTACATACTTGGTAAAACTTTTCTGCCTTTTGTTTCAGCTCAAAATACACTACGCGTGGTAATATACTCGGTATTGTTTATAGTCATGAAATTGTGTTTACCCAGCCAATGACGTCAGATAAAGTATTTTGTGGCATAAATTAGCAT